GCTTAATTTGTAAGCAAGAACTATCGGCTAAAAGGATACTTACTTTCAAGGATAAATGCCGAGAATGTGAAAGGAGGAACCATGACTAAAACCGAACTAATCTTAAAACAAACCTGTCCGGTCTGCCATAGCCTCTACCAACTAATCGAAATCCACCAGGGAAAAAACTGTGCTTTTGGCTGTTTAGAGCATTGGAAAAAAACCTTGCATGAGTATTACCAACAACAAATCATTCTCCATTTAGCCAGTGAGGAAGCCCAAAAGGAAGGAGGTCAGTATGAATAGCACTCACCAAATCCCCGGCACTATTCATGCTAAATACTTACGCAAAACTGCCCCGACCGGTAAGTATCCCAATTTAGAATACTACACTTTACGAATCAAGCACTCAGATTTTAATTGACCGGGCAGCCTGCGAGTATTTAAGGACAAACTAACTAACCCCCAGATTTGAGAAACCTTACAAACTGCCAAGTATGGAGAACTAACCAACCGAAAGTTTATTTTCTTTTGCCAGAATGTTCGAGGGTTTTACTATTTAATCGACTGACAAGAACTTTCTCAGCCAGCCCTGGAGGAGGCCAACCAATAATGAACTGAACTACTTACTGGCAAGCCAAAAGGGCCGAGCAACCTCCAAAAATAAGCATGATTGATAACCAATATTTAGAATGATTGCAAGAAAAAAACCTGGCCCAAGGAACTATTCGCTCCTACTTGGCTACTTTAAAAAGTTTTTCGGCCGAGCCGACCACGGCCCAGGTTAAGCAATATTTTCTCCTTAATCAAAGGAAATATGCTGCCACCACTCTCAAAACCCGAAAATATGCTTTAAATTCCTACATTAAATTCAAGCAATTAAAAGTTGAATGAGAAAAAATTGCCCGTTTAATTCCCTCCGTGCAAAGAAAATTCTTTGACACCATTAACGAGCAAGAACTAGCCCAATTAAAGCAAGCCCAAGTAGAGAAAAACCCGGCCATCCACCACCGAAACAACCTGCTTTTAGACTTCTTATTTTACTCCGGAGTGCGAATTAACGAATTAATTAATATTAAACATGCCGACTGGCAAGGCAATCAATTAAGAATACATGGCAAGGGTAATAAGGAAAGATACATCTTCCTGCCGGACTTCTTAATTAAACACCTGGATCCCACCCAGCCCGGTTATCTCTTTCTCAACCAACGAGGCCACCAAATCAAAGCCGAGTATATTCGTTGACTCTTAAAAGAACGAACTAAAAAGGCCGGTATTAAGAAAAATATCACCCCCCATACCTTCCGACGTTCTTTTGCCACTCTCCTTTATCAGAAAGGAACCCAATTGCTAACTATTCAGAAACTCCTGGGCCACAGCAGTGTGCAAACTACCGAAGGCTATATTCACAATGATTTTGCTTATCTTTACGGGGATTATAGTCGGTTGTGAAGGTCTCCAGAGGCCGGAATAGGAGGTAACTATGCTTAGCGTGACCTATCCTTTTTTTAACCAAACTGAGCAAAAGCCCTTATGAATAGCGGACAAACTAACTAAA